CCAACAATATCAGGCAGTCAGCAGGTGATCACTGAGTGACTGAGTGTGTGGCGTCAGTCTGCGATCAGGATATTCACGCTAAGAAGTGATGTCTGATTTTGCTGGTATTTCTTGCTCTGTGCTATTTCTTCTATTTGTTATTTCATAAATCACCATGGGAAAGAAAAATAGTAGAACAACAACAGAAGTGAGAGAGGTTATACAACAGCATGAGAATGACGGATGGTGTTTCAGACCTGGTTTTACAGTATGACTAATCAAAGGATGGTTGTTGTTGTTGTTGTCAAAGGAGTGACTTTGATCACCAAGATCAGAGCAAAGATCTCAGACATCACAAGAAGAAGTGGAAAAGTTGCTACTGATTTGGATCAATGAAAAGCAGTTGGCAGATGACAGTATTTCGAAGACAATCATTTGTGAGAAGGCGAAGCAAACATTGCGCAATCGCAACCAAGGATGAATGAAATGGCCTTTCCTATTTATAGATTTATTCTTTATTCAGTTGTATTTATCTTTTTAGATTTAATTGTCCTTCCAGTGGACTCTCCACCCACAGGAGGGGTCACTGGGGTTGGTACGGTGCAGTGTGATTTGGGTGGCGGTCATGAAGACTGCCGTGACCTGGTAACGGATAAGCAGATGGATGGATGGATTTAATTATTTTTATTGGTATTGTTTATGGATTTGTACACAAAATACTGTTAGAAATGTTTGAATAAGCAGTCATCCAGGGTCCAGGAACAGTCATCCATTTTACATTGATTTCTATGGAGAAAATTGTTTCAGTTTTCGAACGTTTTGGTTCACGAATGTCCTTCAGGAACAAATTTAATTCGATATATATGCTTAAATCCAATTATATTTGATCTCGATCATATTACATTGGTAACTTGTAAACTCCCTAAAAAGTTCATATCAGACCACAGTAGAAGAGAATATTTTTAAATGAATCCATTGTTTATATTTAGGAAATTCCTCCCCACTCTACCTTTAAATTACACTCCGATCATCTGGTTTTCTTATGTGTGGGGTGAGTTCATGTTACCAGGCTGGTTATTAAATACTGCTGGGGCCGATGTCCTCCCTGTTATTGCACTGTGGTTCTAAAAGCTGGCCCCAAACCTCACTCTGTCTGGTGTCCTTGAGTCGATGATAGAAGATTTGAAAATGAAGTTTCAGATTTTTGTCTTTTCCAAAGTTGGTAAACTCGTGGTCGCTGACATTTACACGTTGCTGTAATGGAGTTTTTGAGCATTTGTTCTCTGTGGTCGGCCTTGGAAGGGGTTTTGTGTGTGTGTGTGTGTGTGTGTAACTGATACAACTGTCTTGGCTGACCATAAAAGTCATGTCCAAATGTGGACTGTGTTCCAGTCCAGGGGGAGAAAAAATCTCCATAGTTTTTTAACTGGGAGCTGCTTTTTAAAGACACATGCTGTTTGTCACAATCAACATGGAGGTGGAGAGCGGCAAAAGTTCAACAAGCATCGTTTACGCCTCCAACGTGGATATCCACCTTAAAGAACGTGGCTCCTTAAAACTACAGTGTGAAACTGTTGGTGACATTACTGAGCTCTTTGAGCATGAGTGATGGGTTAAATCAGTGCTTCTCAAATAGTGGGGCGTGCCCCCCTAGGTGTCACGAGAGGGCAGTGCGAGAGGGGACTTTAGGTATACTTTCTTTATTCACACAGACTGAGCAGCAGAAGACGTTGTTACATTATGTGGTCTCAGATTATTTTGTTATATGTTTTGATAATCAGATTAGAGCTGATGCCATCAACTCTACTGTCAAAAAGGACCTCAATATGGGGGGTGTACAATAATAAATAAACATAAATTGATAGTAAAAACCAGATTCGAATTAAATGCTTCTTGTTGGCATTGTTTTGCTGTTTCCTTAATTTTCTCAACAATATTTGCTGTTGCCTTGGTGACCAGTCCAGTCCGGTGTTGCTTTGTAGTTCCTCTTTATCTTTGTCATTCTTTCCATAAATTTTTGTATTTTTGGGGATGGTGGAGAAAGATAAAACCCATTTTGAAGAGACAACCAGAGCGTGTGGAGCTCTAAAAACACGTGGTTTCACCAGTCATGTTCTCCACTTGGACTGTTTTGAGCTCGTCTCTACCACATTCACAGATTCAACCTACAGACTTAAAGTGACGGTGCGTGTTTTAGTGGGGAGGAGACTGGACCTCCGAGGAGAACTGGTGGTATGTTCCCGTTTAATACTCCCACTTATAAGACCAAAGGAATCCCAACCAAATGGAGCTGAGAGCAATGGGATGGTCCCAGTGACCCAACAAAGGCAAGACTTCCCATGATGCAACAGTACAGACCAAAGACATCACTGATTGTGTCTTAACTTTCTGAAGGTTTTTCACTGGTTCATGTCAGGATACAGATCTGTGTCCCATCAGCGTCAGTGCTCACACAGCAGAGAGGAGCTCATGGAATTTGTCACAACATTGTAATGTTTCTTTGTGTCATTCAGTGTGTGTGTGTGCATGTGTGCGCGTGTGTGAGTGTGTGTTTTTACCCCAACAAATAAGCCTGTGGTGATGTAAGTTCAACACGCTTCACACAGATGATGTCACTGACCGACTGGACGAGCTCACGACCACAACGGCAACATCTGGCTCTTATTAAAACAAACAGATTCACACACACGCACGCACGCAAACACACACACACCCCAAGTTCAGCTTGTCTCTTGGTTGAAAATGAAGTCGGGTTAAAGGGATAAGTTGTACGACACATTTCATTTTATGGTGCTTTCAACAAAGATCCATTAGCTCTCCCTCTCTCTGTCTCTCTCTCTCTGTCTCTCTCTCTCTCCACTCCTCTCTTTTCACCTCCCTTTATCTCTGGAGCAGGTCTGTACTGGTTTATCAGGAGGTTCATAAAATGAAACATGGTTCGCAGTTACAGCCCAACACCGACACCACTGGACGGGTTTCCACCCTAACAGCTGCCAACTGATGTTAATTTTTGTATGACTATTTCTTTGCCTCTATAGAGCTCTGTTCAGTGTTCACCCTCTGAGCCTTCACAGTTATTTGCATTAGCTTGGTGAAAATTGCTGGTCAAAGTAAGATGGCAACATTGGCCATTTTTGTGTCCATTGACAGTCCTGGACCCATATTTTAAAAGTCACAACCCTTCGCGACCCGAGTCAATAGACGTTATTCGTAAACTCCAGGAAAACATGATGCAAGACGACCCAAAAATAAAATTTCTTGCGACCCACCTGAGGGTCGCAATCCAGTCTTTGGGAAACAATGATCTAGATCAGTGGTTCACTGATCTCTCTGAGTACCACCATGATGACCAACATTAGAATACAGCAGCATAGGCCTTCACTGTTAGCTTCCACCACAGGAGAGATGTTTAGAAATGTTTAGAAAGATGTTTATGTTTAAATGTTGTATTAATTGTGCATGGTATGTTTCAGATTTATTCAGTTGAAAAAGTAAATGTGAAAATATAAATTTTCCCCACGTACCACTAGAGAGCGCTCACGTACCACTGGTGGTATGTGTCCAAACGGGACGATATTTATATTTTCTTACACAACTTTAGTTGTTGCCATTTTGTGGCCCAGATGTTGAAATAAATGTGTACAGCATGGACTGGTGGTCCACATCTAAATGTTCTGAGGCCCTGACACAGATGATCGTTCCTTAAGCGAACTGGTGGAGATTTCTATGAACATGTGACCAATGACATTTGGAGGGAAGACTTCACCAAGAATGTCCAACAGTTTGTCAACCTTCCTTATACACTTGTGATCTCTCTACATCCCCCACGTTGTTTTGGCGACCCCATGCCCCTACGCCCCTCGCCTCCTTTCTCCTCCTTCCTCTCATCTCCCCCACTTCTTCCGCTCGTCCTCCTTCCCCTCCGTCCTCCAACAGTTCGTCCAGTCTGATGAACTGTACGTCCAGGGCACAGCAGAGGCCGAACATTTTTGTTTCCTGAGCCAATGCTTAGCTGGAGGTTGCACATACACACACACACACACACACCTCCCACCACCCTGTTGAGTCAGAGCAGAATGTGACAGAGAGAAACACGATTCCCCGAGTTGTTCACTATAGTTCAGTTGAACAATAACAGATAACAGGAAAGAGAGGGACGAAGGTGGAGATAGATGTGGAGATCAGAGAGAGAGAGAGAGAGAGAGAGCACAACAATTAACTATAGGGGTGTACCAATGTTTTTAATGGGGCCCAGATTTAATAATGTAACAACACCTGAGGGCTGATGTCTCCTGTGATACATAAGACTGTAATTAAGTTGAAAATGAATGCTTTTAGTTTTGAAGTATTTTTATTATAGCACAGAAAACCGCTTCAGTTCAGATGGTCGTTGGCTATGTCTATGTCTAAGTCATCAACCCAGAATCAACTTTGAAAATAAAGTGTTATCTGAGTCAAGTCTCTAAAGTCTAGAGTTTTAGTCCAAGGCATTACAGTTTCAAGTCAAATCACAGATCCTCAACTGGGACAAAACAATAGTATTAATGTTTGCAACATTAAGACGTTTGTGTCCTAGCTCGCTTTAAAAAGGTTCAAGGCTAAAATGACCTCTGTCACGAAAAGGTCCGACAACACGCCTCTCCCTGATCAGAGGGCAGAATCTGTGCACAGCCCTGAGGGGTTCTGTCAGACCACAACCAACGCTCAAATTCCAGGAGACTGCCATAAATCCAGCCTGAATTTTCTAACATTATGTCAAGCTCTGATCTCAAACTCTGTCCAAAGACCGAGGGAAGCCTGGAAAGAACGACGGAGCAGCCTCACACAGGTGAAGATAAGGAGAAGACGGTGGAGATAGGTGAGAGCTGCAACACTGGTGACATCATACCTTTAAAATCCCTAAGGCGCGGTCATGGCGTCACCACTTTTAGGAGGCACGTACAGAAAGCAGAGAGGAGACAGTGAGGGGGAAGAGTTACACCCCCTGCACCTCCGATGTTTTAGCCGTTTACCAATTAAGGCTGTCGCTGTGCAGGACAGAGAGAGAGACAGGGATCGAGGAGACGCAGAGGTAGAAAAGAGCCAGAGAGCGCAGCGACCATCTCTTTCTGTCCAACTGTGGGCCAACAGCACTCCCAACAATCTCGTTTCCCCCCACTGGGACTGTTCGTGGGGAGGGAGCTGCGGGTTCGCGCGCGCGCGCACACACGCACTCAAACACCCGCAAACACACACCTCCTGTAACCACAGGCTGCTGCGCGCATTGGAGCGGAGGCGCCGGAGACGCACAGACCTTCAGGAGCTCAGTCCGCCGTTGAACGTAAGTGTTTTTGGCATGCTGGGAGTGAAAGTGATGCGGTCTGATTTTCCAGCGACGAACCCTGTCTTTGTCGCGGTTTCCTTCGGTGTGATCTTCCCGGAGCTGGTGGTTCGCTGGTGCGTAAAGGTGTCACGGGGGTTCGCTGTGAGCGCGCCCCGGTGCCAGTGTGTTCGAACAGATCTCCGAGAGCGCAGTGAAAGTCCCGCTGCTCTCACGCCTTGCCCTCTTTCTCTACGCCGTTTCTACACGGTGCCAACCGTTTTTACGCGTGTGTCCGTGTGGCGCCCATTTGGCTGCATGTGCAAACGTGACTCACCTGGTTCTTAGACTCGTGAACCAGTGTGTGTTTGTAGGAGCATCGCGGCTGCAGCAGCATCTCTGAGTCTCCGAGCCCTTCAACCGGGGCTCCACACCAAATAAGGTAAAACACGGACTCTGGCTGACTGCACTGGAGCCTCACTCTTCGGGGGGAGTGGTGGCCACTTGCGCCCTCCGTCGCCGAGAGTGGGTCTCACAAGTTCAGGAATTTCCTCAGCAAATGACAGAAGCTTCACCTGATTTTACTAATGGTGAGCGAGCAGGGACCCCCCAGTGGTGTACACGGATATTTGTATAAATTACGGATATAAATTACTATAAATTATCCCTTTATTAAAAAATGCCATTTAAAACTAAAAAGTGTGAAATGGAAGTTTATATACCTTAAAGTCGAGGATGTAAAATTATGTAAAAATAATAACCTGTAAATCCATACAAAATAATGTCCTCGTGATTTTAATTAACCAGTACTAGTACGGTGGTGTGTTCATCTCCAGGCAGGCTCAGCTCACAGGAGGTAAAACGTTTAAAATTTCAAAATATGCTTTTAAATATGCATCTTGTCAAAGTTCTATTTCTGTATAAATGAAGTTTATTTGAGGTTAAAACTTTTTAAAAAGACCAAAGTATTTCTCATCAATATGGTAGTTGTTTCTCCTAATTAACTAATCGAACTAATTAGAGACTTATAGAGTAAGAATGATGGGTAGACCCCACATGTTCTTCTCTGTTGGACCCATTTCCTTACCAACCATCGGTCCTTCAACCTTACTTCCTTTAACCTACTTCCTGTTGTTTACATTGTTTACCATGTCCTGACCTCTACGCTCCATTTGTTTCTGTTCTGGATGGACTCAGAAGTTCAAGTGATGTCTTTGTGTGCTGGGGCGTCACCCTATCAGGAAACAGCGCTCATCTGCACCCTGATGTCTCAGTGTTGTCAACCCACTGTTTATCTAGGCCCACGCCCAGACACCTCTATTATTGTTCCGTGACCCACAGCAGTGGACGCGCAATATCTTTTCTGCACATTTAGCTCAGGTCTTCTGCTGAAAGTTGACCAATCATTTCAGTGTGAGCTGAAAACAGGAACTCATTTGGGTTTTCTTCTTAGTTTGTTTCAAATTGAATTGGTAGAAACAGTATGTTAGGGTTAGGGTTGTTCAAACCAATGGCAGTTTTTTACCTAGCTACAGCACGTAGCCCAATACAGCTGCTGTGTGGCCCATTCTGACATGGACAGACCAACAGTAGTATTTGTGAGCAGCTGGTTTGAAAAGTGTGCAAAATATAAAGCATCATATTGTGGAATCAGAACATAAACCTCAGAGACTTCAGGTTGTTCCCCAAGGTAGGTTGTCGGTTTGTTTGGTTGGAGTTTATTTAGTCGTGACAGTCGTGACCACATCAGGTTTGTCCTCATTTAAACCGCCCCAAATTAAAAGCCGTTCTTTGAAGGGTTGGAATGTGCCCTGTTTATTATCTACATGGTTGTAAGTGGCAGGTGATTGAACTCTGAGGTCATAACATTCCTGAGCAGCGTTCACCTAGAGCCGCAAGACAAAAATGTGTCTTTTCAGATCGCCGCTAGAGAAGCTAGATAAGATAAGAAGATGATGAAGAAATATTTGAAGATATTTGAATATTAAAACATGATTTTAAATGTAAACAGTGCACGTTTCACTATGGACAGAGATACCTGAACGGCACGCGTATGTAGGTTGCACAGTTGTGGAACAATGAGAAGGTGATGAGAAAAGCATCAGATAAAACTTGTCCTCATTTGACTCCCATGCGTGCAAACACACACACACACACACACACAGAGACAGTCTACCAGAAGCTAAGGGAAATTTTGCTGCAATCTGGGCACCTGACTACCTTCTCAGTCATTTCATGTGTGTGTTTGTGTGTGTGTGTGTGCAAAGGGTTGAGATGGTTTCATATCTCTATGTGCACCAGTCTTGTGGGCAACTGATCGTGAGAATGTGGCGTTGTTGTGACAGTATGAAGCCGGGGAGGAGAGGGTGTGAAATGAACTCACACTTGATGAAAACTAACCACAGCTCAAACATATTTATTAACTTTATGTCTTATTCTGCATCAAAACCTGCACTCCTCGTGCTGCATGGCACGGTTTTGACACAACATTATTGACTAATGTTGTAAAGATGACAGGCAAAAAATAATGCTTCCTGATCAAAGAGGAGACAAAAGTTATACTTACTTTCTATGATGTCCGTGAAGTGAAGTGAAACCAGACCAATGTTGTTCAGAATGACTACAGACTAACAACATTGCAAAACGGAACAGTGCCCAAAAGAAGAAAAAAAGGTTCAAAGGTTCTCATTAATGCTGTCCAGAATGAGAATTATCCGTGTAAAAGGACACACGGTGAATTATAGCCGGTATTGTTTTCAAACACATGCTTAGATTTTAGCGGAAGCGGGTGCAGTACATCATAGAGACGCTAGAGGGAGGCAGATACCAGAAGCTGAAGGGTCAGTTAGTTCCTCGGGTTCTTTGGTCCAGTCTTTCTGTCTCCGCCCTGTTTAGTCTCCTGTTTATTCGGTGGATTCCAGTGAAACAATGGACCTCCTCTCAGAGAGTAGCGTTTCTTTAGCTCAAAAAAAAACGTGTTCTGCTTTTACACTCAGCATAAAGTCCAGTCGGTTGTGAAGCTCACGGGTTTTTTTTAAACTGTCCTGATGATTTAATCTAACGCCTTAATTAATTATACATTTAGAATTAAGTCAGTAATAAAAGAAAATACATTCCAAATTGGGTTAAAATTACTCACCTCTCACGGACCTCTCATTAAACGTCAGAGCAGGCTGTGGTGTATCATTAATAAAGCCCTTTTCCTCTGCTCTTTTTAAGGCTATGGTTTTTAAGAGTTCCAGGACTGTTATGGGGGTGAGGGGCATTCTTCAGATTCCCCCTTGACCAGACACTCACTCACTCACACGTACATACGCACAAACAGAGAGAGAGGGAGAAAGGGTGAGAGAGCCAAAGCATTCAGGGTGGCTACAGGCCACACTGGCTCTGGCTCTAGCTCTGAGCTCCTTATTTAGGCAAAAAAAAAAAAAAAAAAAAGAGAGACAGAGTCACATTTCTAACTTCCACCACTGTTCTGCTGCATACACAGAACCAAATCAGACAACTTGGTCTTGACCCTTATTCAAACGCCAGACTCCTGACATTTGTGTGTTTGTCTGTGTAGCTGCCATAACAGTGGTGTGAAAACGACTTCATGACACGGTGCTTCAAACGACTTCACCACGATGCTTCAGAAATGAAGTCCTCCAAAATGCAGTTTTATTATTGCACTTTGTTGGTGTACATTAGCATTAAGAGCCTTGTGATAATCCAAGCTAGAGACTTTAAAGGCAGCAGTCAGTTCCCTTTCAGTGTAGGCCATTACTGTAGCTGTTTAGTCGCCTATTAGACGCTGTCCTAATCCCATGTAAATAAAAATAATGCGCGTGACACAAGACACGCTGCAAAGAGATCATTATCTTCCCATTGAATCTCCATGTAATCAGTCAGACCACACCAGCAGATAAAACGCTTCTACAGACAGGTGATAATTAAGTGTAACCTGAGGAGATGTGTCCTTTCTACCCAAATAGGAAGGAACATTAGTTTTTCTGTACTTGAAACTGCCTGCTGCGTATGAAAACCTCAGCTCGTCATTAGTGCATCATATAGCACATATTTGTTGAGTGATCTCATCAGGCTGTTTGGCTGGGGCCGCATGGACAAACAGTGGAAGCTGGAGTCTAGACGTTCAGCCCCTGAGCCATGCAGACTGTTAACCCTCTCAAAGATAAGACTGTAAACACAGTGAGAAGCAGAAATATACAGTAGTACGTGAAATGATGCTGAAAATTGACACCGACAGAGATAAAAGTCTGTTCACGGGCCAGCAGACACCATATCACACTGTCACACTGTCTCTGCTTCAGTGAATACATCAGTATTTATGACAAATGACAGAGTACGTTCAGGGCTTGGGAAAAATAGTAAGTCTGACTGACGGATGTTCACCTTTTAATTATTTCATATGTTGTCGTCATCACCAAGTTCTCTGTCACACGTTTACGTTCACTAAAGTATGAAATGTAATGATCATTTTGAAAGCTGGGTCTGTTTAAGTGAAAAAGATGCTGATATACCTGCAGGAACTGAAGAAAGACACACACAAAGTGCTTCCTCTTTTTTTTAGCTTTTATTGTCATTTGCTGCCACCCAGTGGAAGTGTATTTGACTGTTCTGGGTGTCACTGTCAGGTACTGTAGGTGAACAAAGACACCGTATTTGCGGTATATAAATAATATTAAGTCAATGGTTTCCAACCTTTTTGGGATGTGAACCCATCTGTACAGCACAAATATCTGGCGACCCCTGACTGCGTTTGTTATTCTGTCACAGATACACAGCAGACAGTGTGTATTAGTGACATTTTATTTCCAGCACCAGCTCAGATATTTTTATACGTTGTGTTTTATTTGAACTTGATTTACATTCATGAAAGTAAAAAAGAGGTGAAAAAGATTGTGTGGTGCTTTGAATCATAATTTCAAAAAGAATAATAATTAGCTGAAATTGTTTTTCATTCATTTTTTATCAATTTCTTAGACAGACTAGATGGCTAACATACGGCCTGTAGAGAAGTTAATACAGTCGACCACTCAGCCAGTGTCTCAGGGCAGATGTCAGTTGGATGTATTCAGCCAATCAGACGTCACTAATCAAACACATTGGTCATAACCAGAGGTATTGGTGCACCCATTTGACTTCCTCAGCCAATTAAACTCAATTACCAATCAATTAACTATCAACATTTATTTTTGTGATTTTCTTTTTCTTAAATATACATCTGGTGATGGAAATTTCAATTTTATTTTCAACTTTTTAATTAAATTTTGACTTTTGTGCAACGTTTTCCTGTCTTTAGCAAAACTAGCTTCTAGCATTTTCAGACTGACTTTAAACCTTCATTTATGTTGTAACTACCCTGAAGCAGTTCTGGGGTAAATATTTACTTGCTTATTTAGCATTGGTTGTAGCATAGCTTTTCAAATTAATTTATCTTTTAGTGTTTTTTTAACTAGTTGTAGTCACCTTTTGACAATATTTGACTATTTGCTGATAAAATATCCAAACAGCTAACCTGATATGCTAACAGCAGGCATTTCTTCTCCAATTTCAGATAATTCCATTTACAATTTTTAATTTACTTTTCAGGGTTATACTTTATATTATATTATTTAGATATTAAAGAGCTTTTGGATCAAGTCCTTGCTGGTTTAGCCCTAACTAGTCCTGGCTAGTCCTGACTAGTCCTGACTAGTTGTGTAATCATGGAAGTGGAAAAAAGTTTGGACCCTACTGTAGTGCCGTCCAAATAAGAATAGATCAGTCGACTCCTGTTTTAACCTGTAACTGTTTAAAACGCTCAGTCTCCAGGCTATAACTCAACTCTTTCTTACTTTCTTTTTCTTTCAACACAGACAAGTTACAAAGAAAGAAAGAAAGAAAGAGAGAGAGAGAAGGAGAGGCCACGTAAAGTTGAGCAGACTCCACCCAGAAAGAACTCCAGCGAACCAGGACACAGCCGAGACCATAAAAATGAGTGGTTCCCACCCCCGGCTCCACCAGAGCGCCGCGCCCGCTCCTAACGCTCCCTCCACGGATAAGGACGCAGAAATGCCCGCCACGGAGAAAGACCTGGCCGAGGACGCGCCGTGGAAGAAGATCCAGCAGAACACCTTCACCCGTTGGTGCAACGAGCATCTGAAATGCGTCAACAAGCGGATCGGAAATCTGCAGACGGACCTCAGCGACGGGCTGCGGCTCATCGGGCTCCTGGAGGTGCTGTCCCAGAAGAAGATGTTCCGAAAGTACAACCAGAGGCCCACCTTCCGCCAGATGCAGCTGGAGAACGTGTCCGTGGCTCTGGAGTTCCTGGACAAGGAGAACATCAAGCTGGTGTCCATAGGTGGGTCCGGCACACACTCACTCACTCAGTCACTGACGCACGCACTCACGCGCACGCCCTTTTCCACGGGTCGCTCTACACTCCACAGAAACTTTGGTTTTTGATGAATGGGTGTCAGCCTGCAGTGGCGTGCACAGGAATTTTGGGAGCCAGATGGTGAAGTGAAAAGTAGGGCATGGCTGTAGAAAAGGTTTCAGTCAAGGACTGATGTAGGGAATGAAGAAGGGCGTCTAATTGAAGCTGAAATAAAATGAGGCGGAAGTAGGAGCGCCAACAGGGGGCGACGTCTCTGTAATGCATGATATATAAAAGTATTGCATGAATGAATGGAAGTCCAATGGAAAATAGGGGACTCAAAAATAAATAAAGAGTAGTTAGTCAATTCCTTATCACTTTAAAATAACTTTAAAGAGCTTTATTATATACATGTATTATTTATAAAAAGATCAAATGACCACAGGAGAGTTCTGAAGGGTCCAGAGGGTTCCCAGTTCTGTGCAGGTCTGCTTCTAACCTTAATTCTCTTGCCCTCTGGTTCCCACTTCTCTTTAATAGAGTTCCAGTTTGGAGCCATGACCGCAGAGCTTAGGGTTTTTAACTACCCCTTTATTTTACATTTAAAATAAAATAAAACACTGTGTATCACTAGAGGAATCGTACCACATGTGGTACTTGGGATACCATGGTTTTAGAATCATTCGAAATTGTGGGTTTTTAAAAAATGCATTACAAAACAAAAAAGGTGAGAAACACTGCTAATCTAACACTCTTCTATCGTCATTGATTGTAACGTGTTAAAAATCATAGTGTATTCAGGAGTTAAACGTAACCTGACGCTCTCATAAAGCACTTATTTCACATTAAAAAAAATTATCTAAGTTTCAAACCCAGCCCTGTTTAGTTGAACACAAAACTGATATACTCGCAGGAGTTGAAGAACGACACACACAAAGACCTTCTTTAAAAAACACTAAGTTTGCCTATTTTTTCACATCCGTCTTTATAATCATCTCCTGCCACCCAGTGGAGGAGTGTTTAATTGCCCCGTCATTGTCCCATTGAGGAGCGGAGACACATTATTTGCGGTACATTTTGATAGTTTTCAGGCCAATTAAGTGAAATAGGCACACCTGACGATCACTAATGACACGTGCCACAGCAGAGTGGTTGGGAGTCACTGTCCTGAAGTGAGTTTAACTGAAAAAGAACAGAATATGTCAAATAAAGTAGTTTTTCTTTTTATCCTGAAACAACTGAGTCAATTCCTGCAATTAAGAAGGAACACCAATCCACCAGGTGGTGCTAACATCATGCTTTTGAACACTTATATAAATATTAAATATACAAAGGCAGTGATCAGGCTGAGTTAAAAGAGTTTAATTATTTTGAACATAAATTTGGATATTTTTCTGCTTTATCTATATTTTTGCACTCAAGCCAAAAGCTGAGATTAAAAAGATCGAAGTTACTGATATTCCTTTTCCTACTTTTATCCAAACTTTTGCAGGCGTGTTGGTTCCTGTGATGGTGTTAAATATACAAAGGCAGTGATCAGGCTAAAAAGGTCGTATAGTGAAAGTGATAGTGTTCAGAAAATTGAGGGCATGTGTGCAGGTTTGTCTTTGTGATAGAATGAAGTGGAGCATGTTGTTGCTCAATGGGGAGGGGAGAAAAAAAAGGAAAAAGAAATCTGTCACCTTGTAAAGAAGCATGTTGGAATGTACGGTCTGCTTTAGCAGAGCGGTGTTACAGGAAGGTTTCCTGACTGGATTGAACATGCTTTCTAGAGGGAAAGAAGGCGTTTCCCCCGGTGAACAGGGGAGCCACAGCTTTTGTCTCTGGACGCCCAGATTTGAGGCGGGTTGTTTTTGGAAGAGGGAGAGGGGGGGGGGGGGGGCAGAGTGCTGGGAGGCCCCAGGCCAGCTCTGCTCTGTTGCCCTTGTTGCCTCAGCCGAGCTGGGCCAATCTGAGCTACAGTGTGTAGGCCTTTTGGATGGGCTTCAGGACTGTTCGGAATGAAGAAACCTGGTCCTTCACACAAACACACATACAGACACACAGGGCTATTGTTTCAGAGGGCTGGGGCTGGGTCTCTGCAGAGAATTAGAACAAACTCGGGCCTGGTGACGTAAAAGTGGGTTTATTGGCCTTCGTGTACGTGCAACTACTTTGTTTTTCCGCAACACTGGCTGTTTATTTATTCATTTGGAATGTTTTTCATATCAAGTTTAAAGAAACCTGTGGCTCTTGAGATGCCTTTTGGGTGTGCAGGGATAAAGCCTATCACAAAGAGTGTTGAAAAAGTGAGTGACCAAGCTGAGTGCAAATGTCACAATCCCCTGGTGCAGGCACAGAGGCATCAATAGCAAACATGGAGTAGTGCTGCTGAAAAGCTCAGGTGTGTGCATCAGGAAAGAATTAGAAAATGATCTTGGTAAACACTGTTTACGTTAAAATTGCTGGGTTTCGCCCATTTCAAAATAGACATGTGATTTTTTTGCATTACAGTATATCAGTGGTACAGTTAAAATAATTATTAAACATCAGTTGTAGATTGTGTGGCTTGAATTATTATATAAGCGTAATGATATTTTTGACCATTGGGTCGACTCGGTGTTTAATATAGGTGATGATGCGATCAATGGAAAATGACAGATCTATATATAAATTCTACAATGCACAGGATCATGTCACCCATTCATATCATAATTACTCATGTTCTTCCTTGTGCTGTTAGAGTGAGTGGATATCTACCTATACCTTTGTCGGTGTCTGTCCCATCTGTGGTTGCCACTGCATGAACAAAATGGCTACAGTCACTTGTTTGTTCCTCTGCTCACCTGGAGTGAAGATGGACGCCAACACTCGTCTCTCTGAGACCAAACCTTTTTCAACAGACAGTCTGGGATTGTTGCAACAGGAAGGGGATTGTGTGTGAATCAGTGCCTGAATGAGTCCTTGTCATCTCCAGGAGGAATGAATGGCTCATTTCATCCTTTACACACAATCACGCACGCACAACAAAACCATACACACACACATACACACACAACAGTAAGTGTACTCCAATGGCAGTGCTTCCTTCTGCAGATAACAGGTGGGTTGCTAACACAGTTTGACAGTCAGCGGTCAACAAATCCCCAGGCTTTTATCTCAGTCCATGGAAAAAGGTGCATTAGTGACAGCAGTCAAGATGCAACTAACAGTTTTAGTTTAGTAACTGGTTAATATGGCTATTATGTTTTTCTATTATTAATCTGGCTGTTTAACTTTGTCTTGCACCAAAACTACAACTAGTTTGATTCAGTAACGAGACTTGACGATCAGACAATAGTTTTTTTAGTCTCAATTTCTACCTTTAATATTTAACATGTGATTTTTACAGCTAACTTTGAGCACTATTTTTGAACGGCTTACGACTTATTTTTATCCTGCTCTATCCAAACTCCACTAAATATGTAAATACAGCATGCTTATAAATAATTCGCCAAATAAGACAAAAGACCATACCCAAGCGTGTACTCAGGTGTTGTTTTTCAAACGCACCCCCTGGTACTATTCAGGGAGCAGTACCAGGAACCTGTGAGCCATGGTGCACAGCAGTCTGTTTTTCTGTCTGTTGCTTCCACTGACTCACCCTGGTTCAGACTGCTCTCTCTGAGTCATGTCATCTGAAGATGAGGGAGAAGTTCAGTCCCCTCTCCTTCTACTTCCTCCTTTTATTGCAGAAAGTAGACACACCCAGTCAGCAACCCTCACCACAAGGTTAGCAAACTGCCCTCACTGTCCAACATGAAACTGTACTTCTGTGTCCTAATTCTCTAAACCACTCCCTGGCTTTTTGCTCACAGATGAGTAACATTTTTACTCTTTATCTAATTGTTGTTTTTGTGCAGGATCTCTTAAACCTCGACCTTTTTTTTTTTTTTTTTTTCATTTCTCCTTTTTTCTTATCTTCTGTTTATTTGCCAACAGTTGTGATACGCAACAGCAGCTACTTTTAAAACACGTCATGGGTTACTTAACACAAAGGCAGTCATTTGTTGCCCCACCCTGCGGCTGTAAATGTCACCTTGAGTGCATGGTACAGACGCAGCACAATACAGACGCCGCAAAGAGCAGTCACTAATGAACATTTGTACTGAGATTTATCCTAGATTTGACTGCCGTCTGTAATCATACAGACATTAGGTGGAGCAGCTAATGTTTGTTACGTCCTAAAAGGTAAGTATTAAGTTTGCCGTTTAGAAAAGCGGTCACTTCTGACCAATATGGCCCTGCTGAAATTATATGGACCACATATAAAACCCAAGACAAATAGCTAAATGTAATATGTAACTTAATGTCATATCACAACATATATGTACGTTATACAACAAATCATTGATTCTCGAAGCTAAAATAAAATGATAATGAAAAGAAGTATTTGAATAGTCAGCATGGTCTAACCCTCAGGTACTCAGACTGTCACTTATCAAGACTCTGCCAAAGTCTTTGTGTGTCATTATCTGCTCAGTGTAAATCTCAGTTACCTGACACTGAGTCACTCGTGCAGGGAGACGAAGCCTGTCATTTGTGACCCCATGATTTATTTATTTTTTTATGATTTTTCAGCAGCTTGCACAGACGATTAAGAATGAGAAAAGTTTTGCACGGCTATGGTTAAAATAAATGGGTAACTGTTAGGTGTTCAGTGAGGAGCTCGGCTGTTCCCACTGTTCTGGAAAGGAACATGTCTGTGAAAGAACATCTTTACGGATCTGATGTCTTTTTGATCCATGTGGAGAATCAAAGTCACTGAACTGTTTCTGCTGCTGCCTTTGTTAAATGGGCAGTGGTTAAAGGGGCAGTGGTGGCTTAGTGGGTAAGGAAGGGGACTTGGGTCTGGAAGGCTTCAGGTTCGAGTCCACCAGCTGCCAAGTTGCATGGCACCGTGCGTTCACTTTGGTGATGGGTTAAAAACAGAGGTCACATTTGGTTGTGTGCAGTGGTGAGCTGTG